ACGACGTACCGCTTTTAAGAAATTTTTTATTCTTACGAACAATTTGTATTAATTCAATTAAAATGGTTGTAAACTCTTTTCTAACAAACCTAAGTTGATCGAAATATATAGATCCACCCCTGTCCATGATTTCTCATACATCGCGTGCAATTCATTCACAAAATGCGAACTATAATACAAGTATTAAATTTAACGAAACGTATTTTATATGTTTGACATAAATCACTCTACATTCGAACGATCAGAAGTGAAACGAGTCAGGAGATGAATTGCACCCTCTTCAACGATATCAATTAAGTCAAAGGTTAAGGCAAAGGTTCGGGTCTTTTTTGACCCATCGCCTTTTTATTTTTTTAAATAACTTTTGCTCTTATCAAATCTACGTTCCCTCAACGCTATATTGAAAGTTTATCGTCTAAGCTCATACAGCATACTGGTGACAAAAATCCGGGTCATTTTTGACCCGAAGACCTCAAGAACGAGACTAGAGGGTTAAAGAATAACAAATACGGTCCTTGAAGCGTTAAAAGGAAAGGCCTATCGAGTATCCTGACAGCAGGATAACACCCTAATCCTAGCCCTGATAGAAAAACAATAGGCGACATTCACGAAGGGACTCTTTATTGACACACGTTTATCTCGAAGAGGAATAACGATATCAAACGAGGCCAGGCAATCGGCCTTATCGAATCAGCAAAGGCATTTTACGATGGACTCGAGAGGAAAGCGGTCGTTCTGAAAGCTGGTCGATCGAAATAGGGAGGAGCAGAAGTTGAAGAAATAAATAAAAGTGACGAGAGATCGCGGAAAAATTTGTCACGCTTTCTCCTATCGCAGTTTCAACGCTGAACTAAAAGGAGAATCGCTAATGAGTGTGTGATCGATCTCCGTTTGACAAAAAAACAAAAAACCTCCGGTGCATATTAACCGCGATCTCTTCGACCGTGTAAACTGCGGCATAAAATCACGAAACGAGAAAAAACTCAGACCGACCAAATATTTTAACCGTCCAACTCTGACGGACGAAGACCATCAATCGACATAATCGTCCGAGCCTTCGACGTTAGATCATCGCTCGTGTTCGCAGAATACGTGCTAAATTGACATATTAGAAAAAGACAAATATTCGGAACGGCAAATAAACTTTTCCTGTTTTACGTTAACAACGGTGCAACGGTAAATTTAACGAATTTCCAAGAGGAATTTTTAAAAGACGAGGAATTCATCGACTACATTTTCCAGTTCAAAAATGGGGCACAGTGGACAAAATTAAATTTATTAACCCTTTCGCTGCGACAGGTTTTAGTACGTAACGCTCGAAGCAGATATTCAATCGTGGCTGCAAAATTTTTAGTTCTGGTGTTTTAAAATTTGAAGAAAATTTTGAAATTTATAATTTCAGTAAATTCAGGTAAAAGTCTGCAAGGGGCGAAAATTAAGGATTAAATTAAGGTGAAAGTGTGCCAAAAGCAGCGAAAGGGTTAAAGATAAATTGACATAGTTTAGGCTTCAAGACTATCTAATAAGTAAAATAAAAATTATTCCTTGTGCAAATTTCTCTCTTTTCGCAAAAATTGTTCAGAGACAGTGATTTTTTAAGAGAGATCAACAGATCTGTATTGTCTTTCATCTTTTTCTATTATCTTCCTTTCTCTAGAAGCTTCAATTTAAAAATACAGCACGATACTTTTGATCACTGCAGAGGATTTGCATTAGTACACCACATATGTAAAGCAGCATAAGTTAACATCAGCTATAATCAGCCTCAGAGCGTAACAGCCAGCCATGCTGCAAACGACATAATCGCAGAAGAGATTATATCTTGATACGATATTAGTTTCAATTTTCAATTTAATTAAATGTAAGCCACATTTTACTAATCCGTGTGTGATTTGAATTTTAAATGAATAGTACAAGTTGAAACTTTGAACTCAACGAAAGAACAAGATGAAAGGAAGTTTAACATTTCTATGTTGCTGACTGTTACATTAATTTAAAATCGCTCATTCTTTTCAAATAAATAAATAATTTCTCACTGCGCAAAGAAACGATTACAAATCGTCCGCACAGCTGATAGAATAAAAAGGAAATGAAAAGTAAGAGACTTGCTCATCTTTACGACATTTTTACAGGCCTCTTCGCAATTCCCACTGAAATTCCGGTACTTTTCAATGAAACGTCAAACCGATCACACAACTTTTTCTTTACTTGAAGATCACCGAACAAAATGGTCTTACTTATGACAAATTGTAACATTCCAACGACACAAGTCGGCGAATGAAAAGTGTATCGTAAGATGCATTATTCATTTGTTTACACAGCTGAATGCTATCAAATTCGTCGACATACCGATGCCTATGAAATGCAACAAAATTGTTTCAACTTGCACTTAAGGAGGTGCTCTGTCGACATTTTATCCCCGACCTTCGTTAAACACTGTCTACTGCGCATTTGTTCGTAATTAATTGTAAAGCAAATGTACATTGTATTTAATTATGAAGCGAGAGTAGTCTCTGCAATACTAGTTTCTGCTAAGTATGAAATTTAACTTCCTTCTTTTCGAATTCGCTCATTTTTTCGAAACACGTTAAACGAATACAAAAATGCAACGATTTATAAATACATTCTTTTGAACTGGAATTTGTTAAAGAAGAATGTAACATTTATTTAATAATTACTTAAGCACATTTTATTCATGAAAAAAGTCGCTGACAAATTTTCTCCGAAATTCTACGATAATATCTGTGTAAAGATAATCGTGGAATTGGTAATTGGAAATCAGAATCATTCTTATTTTTCTATCAATTGAGTAGTTCTTTCCCGTATTTACTTTTCTATGAAAAATTAGATAATACAAACTTTGCTAGGTTTTTTAAAGTATGAAATAAGCAATGAAATAACCTGTAAACGATGAATATTAAATAATGTCAGAAATATTGAATTTGAATTTTATTCTGTGAGTGTTTTATATGAAAAAATAAATGAAATTTGTTTAATTATTTGGAAGGTATGCTTCGTCGTTATTGTAAAATAAGATGAACCAATTTCTAGAAGCACCAAAATAGAAGAAAATTACTCCGATTGCACAGCTATCGTAATAAAATGTACAAAAATATTTTGTACCCTTTACAAACAGTTTATGTCATAAAGTACCTGTTGGACAGCCTGGGAAAGCAAACAATTAAATACCGTGTGTAAATAGAGTCATGACGAAACGATAAGCCAACAAGCTACATTAAATAGCGGTCGCCTTTGATAAGTTATCTACTAAAGAGCAACCTTGCAAATCTTCCGCTTTCGCAATTCCAGCTTCTGGTTTCGAATCTCAAATCGAATCACAAGAAAATAATCAGCAATCAACAAGAGAAACTGTTATCTTAATAAAACTGGACTGTTCCGTCCGATACGGAACACCCTAATTAAAGATTCTCGAAGGTTAGTTTATGACATGGACGTGACAGACAGTTTATTTTCGTGTTTATTTTTCGTTAATAGTTTCAGAGTCTTATTTTTTCTATAACCGGCAATTTGTGCCTTCGCGATAGCAAAGGTATTTTTAATCGTTTCGAGTTTTTACACAATAGCTTTAGAATTTCGTTTCGTTCGTCTTAATAACCGACCAGGTCATAAACTCGGTATTTCCGAAAGGTCGGCTAAAACATGTGTATAACGGTCCTTGTAGTTAAGAGTCGACCTGGAGGAATTTTCCGCGACCCATCGAACACCTTCGAGAAACCCCCCCTATACTTAGACAGTGCCCTCGCCCGCGCTCTGAGAAGGGTTGGCTAAAGGGCGTTACTTAAATTTTAAGAAATGGCAAAAATGCGCTGATTGGAAAATCAAAAGAGGACCAATCAGCGTACTCAATCCTTCTTCGAGGTGTCACGAACGGAGACGAGAGGATACGTCGGCAGATCGTTGCTTACCACTCAAGTATTCACTTCGTAGTTTAACACACAAGTATTCACAGCGCCACATTATACACAACTGTACACTTGGTGCATACATTTCGTATCATTCGATATACAAAATACAAATAAGAGTGAAGTTCCTCCGCGTCGTTTAATCGTCGCTAATAAACTGCCGACGCTGCGACGCACATACATGGACATCTACCAATTAGACGAAACTTAGACAGATATCTCTTATAATTGAAAACAAAGGGGAGAAATTTACCATGTTTGAAAGTTAAGGATTTTCAATAAAAGCTTGCCTAACCTTTGGAATGAAATTAGAATAATTCAAACTTTAAAAAAGGGGACACGAATCGTCCTAATTTCCATTTGGTATAAAGAAACGGAAAAGGAACTAAAAAGCGCCGAGATTTAAATTTACTTCAGTGATAAATTATTAATAGAGAAGCAAGAATTTAATATTATTATTTCACGGAATTAACATTTTCTCCTTCTTTTCTTTTCCCTTTTCTGAATTCATCTGTTTTATGATAGTGTGAATAAATACCCACAAAATTGTAATAAAAATTACAATCAAATTTAAAGGAACCCAATGGTTACGTTTTTTAATAAGATTAAAACAAAATTCATGCAGTGAAATTTCATCAATGGTAGCCTTTAAGGTACGGGTGTCCAACCTTTTGGCTCACCTGGGCCAAATTGAGTGAAGCGAAATTTTCTTGGACCGTGTACAAAATATATAACATAGTTAATGTGTATAAGTAAGAAAACTTCCTTAATTTTTTAATATAGCGCAATTGAGTCGTGAAAAATACCGCTAAAAGTCGCGTAATAACGTTAAAAGTTTGCAGGGCCGCGTTATTAGCCCTTCGGGGCTGCATTAGCCCCGCGGGCAGCGTATAGCCCGGCGGGCCGCACGAAGCCCGCGGGCAGCGAAGTTGGACACACTTGCTTTAAGAGTTAAACGCGTGAATCTAGGTCATCCTGGAAGCACATTTCCTGAAGGAACCTATCTAGCGCGAAGAACTCGCATCCTTCGGCCTCATATTTCTCCCATAAGCTTACACATTCTTTGCAGGTACTCACCTGAACAGTAGGAATCCCAGACCGGTAACTGCTGCTCGTCGAACGTCGTCGTTGACATCAGAGACCTGCACAAGCAAATACTTGTGTTCTCAAGATGATCGTCGTATTTAGTTCATTTTAATGGTGCATTAACACTTCACGGTCATACTATGCCTGTGCATATTTATCTATGGGAATCGACCAAGTAAATAAAACGTAACTGTACCTCTACTTATCTCCTCCATTTTCTTTAACATAACATGTACTACAATCTTGGAAACAATCTACCTAACTCGAAAAACGTAAATTGAACGGTTACAATATTATCGATTTATCAATTTCTTATGAGCCTAATCCAACAAAAATTTGATAACGTCCAGCGTTTTATGGGAATCTAAATGGAAGATTAAGCGTCTAAAGCAACCACTCAAATACATATTTGTAACAAATAGCATCGATATTATATCACACTTATATCATAAAATGTAAGCATTAACGTATATCGATGATTAATTCACGGAATACTGAAACTACTTAGATATTTCCATGTTTATCTCCTATCACAATCTAAATACACTTTTTTCTACAAATATTTACCATTTATCAAGAAAGAATAAACAAATGACTCACTCAAATAAATATCAGCAAAATATTTGAGATTCTAATTTTACACGTAAAATCGTGATTTGCATATTAAAAAGGATACCTCGTAATTCTACATTGACAAAAAAATAGTTAAAAGGATAAGCATTTATCGATATCAAAAATCAAATATTTGCTATCAAACAAATATAAACTCTTTTCTTCTCGCTTCTGACAGCTACTTCGTTTCCCTTTTTCAACAACCCACGTTTGAAATAATTCAAGGAAAAATAAGGCAAAAGAAAGGGCAAACATCAAAATCGATTTGCGTTTGAAGATGAAAACTTACAGCAACGTGTAGTAACTTCCTGATGGCCTGGTTGTTTCCGGTTCCGCAATAGGCCATCGCAAGGGTGTACATGCCGCTTCTACGAAGTATCGGATCCTTGTCAGCACAAAGAGAAGTGACCAGAGGATCAGCTTCCTCCAGGCGACCATACATGGTGAACGCAATACCCACAGCTAATCCTCGAAGGATCTTCTCGTGCTGAGTTTCTTGGGCGTACTGAAACAGACGAAAGACAAAATTGTGTGACGAAAATTGACCCTCGTACTTCTTACGTAGTTTTGAATAACATTTCTTATTTTTCAAATAAATATTTTAGAGTAAATGGATTAGGTTATCGGTAAATTTATAAAATAATAATCTACGAGGTGAAATTCGCCTTTGCAGGGTAATTTAATTTCAGCCACTGGCAAATTTTCAGGAATCGAGAAAAATAAAAACTGTGGAGTTCTCACAGATTAAATGTAAATAAATTTTATTTTATTTCTCGAATAAATATTTTGGAGTAAACAGGCTAGGTTGTTAGGAAATTTATAAAATAATAATCTACGAAGTGAAATTTGCCTTTGCAGGCTAATTTAATTTTAGCCACTGGCAAATTTTCAGGAATTATGAAAAATAAGAACTGTGGAGTATTCGCAAATTAAAATATAAAAATATGAAAAATAAATGAGTTAAGAGTAGTTTTCATTTTATTCGTATCCTTTACTCTAACCTGCTTTGCTTCCATCTAAATTCTATTATCTTTTTATATTGCAAACATAAACTCACTATGCTCTAAGCTCACTATCCTAGTCTTTTCGTTTAATCAATTAAACTCGGTACTTAAATTAGCAAATCAATTAAATTAAGTAATTAAACGTTGTTATGCAAAAAAACACACGTATACTGTTCCACGAACGGTAGAAAACTGCCGAATTACTATTTATTCTAAACAACCATTCCGACTTTCCAAGAAATCACCGACGAATGACGTTTCCAAGGAACTGCACAATTTCAAATGTTTTAATTTGTAATGGAAATTAAAATAAAAAACCTACAGCCCAACAAGAATTATAATTTCTTGCGAAAACATATTGCAAACCGTGTATAAATCAGATAAATGATCACAAAGGAAACAGAATCCTTATCCAAAACACGAATAATATTCCTCATTTCAAGCATCAAATTAAAAACTCTGAAAAACAGGATTCTCAATCTTTCGTTACACTTATCAATAGTAATTAGAGCAGCACACAAAAGCGGTGGCTATCGACATCTCAAAACATCGCTCTCCAAGATACACAATTCGAGGAATCGTCACTACGCCGATCGATTACACGATGCAATTACATAAATCTTTTAATCTGTATCGTAGAAAAAGCTGCTATACGATATTTTTTCTTATTCGAACGATAACAAAGTGGAGAGTCGCGGGACAAGGAAATCGCGCGGCCATGTTTCCTCCGGTAAAATGAAATTCAACCGCAAGTCCGCGGACAGGTAAAACAGCCCATGACAAAGCGACGCATTTTCTTCTGCACCTATTTCTCTGTGCCAACAGTAAGTGGATTTCATTGTTATTCGGCGGAAGATGCAACATCCACGTGGGCTCTGTTATTTCACGAATAAGATTCCCGCAAATAAATGGGTCAAGACGACACGCGCGATACTACTCTCTGTACACCACCTATGAGAAATGTGCTACCTTTTATTTTATTTTATTTTATTTTTATTTTTATCGTAGGTATGATGGCTACCTCTGAATAGTATTTAACCCTTTAACGCTCAAATTTTTCTCCCCTCGATGTGCCAAAAGTGATCACTTTCTTTTTTTTAATTATTTCCTAGGTGGATAGAAATAAGTTTTCTATTATTTCAAAAAATAATGAAAGGATAGAAAATAATAGAAACATAAAATTATACGATGAAAACTTCAAAAATACTCTCTCTGTAGTGAAGTCAACATTTCTAAATACTGTATTCCACCTTTATTTCCCTTATTTCGTTACTTCTCAGTTGCGTTAATGTTAGTCAACGTTTTTAGCGCACTGTGATGGAAATCTGGAAAAATAATTCTTATCTTTTCCGTGACGAAATGAACAAATATTTCAAAAACTTTCATTCCTCGCTTCTCAAATCGAACGTACGACAAGTAATTTTACATTGACCAAGAATTAACGCTGTATTCATATCCGTCTCTAAGATTATACATCGCAATATTTGAATGAAATTGCGAATTACAACCTTTCGGAACTAAGAAACGACGCAAATTGGAGGTGCAATATGTTAAGAAACAGAGATTGCAACGAAAAGATTTTGAAAAGCAAGTACATTCTTACGCGATTTCTAATCGACGTAATCCTCGATAAGAAATTGTACAGAAAAAGAAAACGATTTGAGAAATTTCCTCCTTTCGATCGATATTGAAATATTAATTAGGAATCTTCGAATACCGCAGAAAGAAATGGAATGCTACAAGGAAATCTGATTTTTCGTATCTCGTAACTAAACTACTATGCATTATGCATGGAATTCTGTTATGTTCGTATATTTTAATTTTACATCATTTTTATCATTTAATAAATATATTTTTCTAAAAAAAATATTGTTTCTACTAGCGCTCCCAATTACCTACAATTATAAATTATCAATCATCTGTAAAAAAAAATATCTCAAGATTCGGGACTTTAAAATTTTCACACAAAAAGAACGAATTCTAATTACGATAGGGAATACTTTAATGTGAACTTAAAAAATAGCTGTTTAAGTTCTACAGTAATTTCATTCAGATAATAATTCATCAAACAATCAACGCTACTTCGAGTTGCCTAATCTTTCGATCGTTCGATCACGTTCGATGGTCACGATAATGGTTATCTTAATTTTCATTTATCGACACAACATTATAACAATTTTCAATGAACAATTACAGATACGATGTTTAAAAAATCGTTCAACTGACGCGTAAGTTTTCACTTTTCACAGATGCAAAGCTCTAAACTGCGAAATATTTAAACAATAATAAAGCAAAATTTTCAATTTCAACAGGTGCTCTCCTTATCTACACCTGTTCATTGCGCAGGTATCACGTCTTGTTCATGTTGAAACAATTTTTATAAAAATTGTGTTTAAAATAGCATTTAATTCAATGGCTGTTCAGTCGGTGATTTAGATACACCGGTTATATTTGTTCACATGTGTTCCTGAATAAACAAGACAATGAATATAAGCGAAGAAAAATCGGGTACGTTACAGTTCTTGGGCAAGCACTGAAGCACTTTGCCAAGATTACAAATTACATAAAGCGCAATGAGTATTAAAAATAAAAATCGAATCTGAAGATTAAAATTCTACTAAAATCCTACTAATTTTTATTAATATTCTACGATTAAAAATCTATCACAAGTCTCCCTTCAAAGTCTCACAGATTGATGTACTTATTTATTACTAATTTTTACTAAGATTCTGAAATTAAAAATCTACCACAATTCTCCCTTTAAAGCCTCGTAAATTAATGTAGCTATTTATTTCTATTTCTTTTAACTAAAATACTACTAATTTTCCCTAAAATTCTGTAATTAAAAATCTACCACAATTCTCCCTTTAAAGCCTCGTAAATTAATGTAGCTATTTATTCGTACCTTCTTTTTCTTTATTTAAGAAATTTTTATAAACCTATTTTCGATAAATAAACTTCTCAAATTTGATTGAAAAATCCTCGTCAGAAACGCATTTCCAACTCGAATAACGTGTCACCGTTAAACCTACGGCGCTAAACTAACTTTTCCCAACACTCGTAACTACAGATTGAGTATCAGTCGAGTATCGATCACTTATCAACTGTTGTATGTAATACTCAAGTGCGAAACCATTATTTCTCTTAAAGGTATAAAAGAAGCGACGCTAAAGTGCGACAGCTAACAAGATCAACTATCCTGCGGAGCGTGGAGATCTACGGTAACGACAATGGTTGCCCCAGCAGCTTTGGCTCTAAGTTCGTATGAAAATATTCCTCGAATAAAATAGTATTAACCTGTTAACTAAGAAAGACGAGTTAACTCGACATTGTTTTACAAATATTTACCAACAAAATAGTTTCTTTATTCAAAGATTATTTGTCTTTAATTCTACTCTTATTACCTCTTTATACACATTTCCAAGGATCAAAGTGAAACAATTGCTTGTCATTTTTTCTCTTTTTTTTTGTAAGATAGAAGAATTTATTTTTTTGGTTGAATGGTGTATCCAGTTAACAGGTTAAACAATCGAACAGTTTGACAACGAAAGACACTTTTTTTTACAGTATATCCTGCCCTGCTCACTTCGTTGATGCGGGCAAATTACACGGTTTTCCCCAACGAAGAAGGTGTACCTTATCTGATTAAAATCGACAATACGCCACTGACTTTGGAGGAACGAAGCGCTTTGGCCGCAAATGTGAACGAAATTACTTTCACACTTTTCACACGGTTAGAATGGTTTTCATATTAATCTGTTTTTAGAAGAGAATACGCTTTGATATACTGCAGCGATTTTTAATCTCACGGCACTGGTGAACTAATTACTAAAATTCTACGGCACACCTGAAAATGTATTATATTTTTTCGCCGATCTGACAAAAAAGTATACATTTTTCACTGATTTACAAAAGAAAATTATATTTTTTTTCTGATACCTTTTTTACCTGTATTGAAAAATATTGGACACGAACCGAATTTTTTTTTTTTTTTAACTTTAATATAACACCAAACGCTGAAATTGGGCATAAATATGCACTTTTTGTATATCTTTAGGATTCTCTGCTAATTAACCTGAATGAATTATTTTATTTACTCTATTCTCATTTCTATCAAATTTCATGCAAATACCGAGGTTTGAAAAATTATAAAATAGTCGAAAGGTAATGTATCCTTTGAACTTTATACAACTACACTCTAAACTCTAAATCTATTTATTACTCTAATTAATGCCACTTTCACGTTTCAAAGTACCTATTGAAAGAAAAAAAAAAAAAGATACCATTACGCTTTTCAAAAGTGTATATTTACACTTTTACTAGCAGAATAACGAGAAAACTCCATAATGTTATTAATAAAAAAAAATATTATAATTCTTTCTATTTCAGAAACAACCGACAAAATGGACATGTCCTGAAACTGAATGACATAAACTCCGTACGGGGTAGTCAATGGGGAGCAAACAAACCAACGATCTTAGTCGCTCATGGTTGGAAGAGCTCTGGTACCTCTTCAGCCTGCACCTTGATACGCGATGGTAAGCAAATTTCATCGGCAAATCTCACATAAACGTTAATCTTCTCGTTTACCGAACGAAAATTTTGTTCGTAGCTTTCCTCAAAGCTCTGGACTGCAACGTCGTCGTTATTGACTGGAGCTCGATAGCACACAACATAGCTTACTCTGTTGTTGCGAAGAGCGTGCCAGACGTGGCTGCACACGTAGCTTCTTTCGTAAATTTCTTGCGCAGCAAGGCTGGTTTGAATCCATCCAACACGAAATTAATCGGACATTCTCTTGGTGCTCACGTCGCGAGTTTGAGCGCGCGACTTGTGTCGAATGTAGCAGAAGTGATCGGTGAGTAACGATATAGAAAATTAAATTTTGTTTCGAAAGAAGAGAGCGACAGAAAATTTCAATATCAGATTAATAACAGTGCAAGCAAATTAATTGGCCTTTGGTAATCAAAGAGTAAGAACTCAGATGTTCACTTTTGACTCAGAAATTGACAGGTATAGTCATTATACAGAAAAAACTAGCACTGGTAAATTTGATATTGTGAAACATGCGAAATTTAAGATTTTTGGTAACACTTGATTTGTTACGTTACGATGAACGATTACTGTTATGGTGACATGAAGGTAATTAGATCTTCCACCGTTTGCAATTATAGCTCTGGACCCGGCTAAACCCATGTTCCAAAACAAAGAATCTAACAATAGAGTTGATAGCTCGCACGCAAAGAACGTCCAAGTTATTCACACATGTGCTGGTCTGCTGGGAATGGATACCTCTGTAGGTACCTCTGATTTTTTCGCCAACGGAGGAAGAAATCAACCAGGTTGCAACAATGATTTACTTGGTAAGAGACGTTGAAGATTTTTCCTCGCAGACTTGAACTTGAAAAGTACTCTTCGTACATTCGATAATGTAAATTTATGGAACAGGTGCCTGCGCGCACGGACGCAGTTATGAGTACTACAGTGAATCTATTACAAATCCAAGAGGTTTCCTCGGTACACCTAAAAACGGAGGTTTAAAGGTGTACATGGGAGGCCCTACTCTCAGTTCAAGGTCTGTTTCATCTTACTTCACTGTTACACCATGTTGTATTGCTAATTTTGTTCGTAAATTAAATTTGTCTAGTTAAGTTTAATCTAACTTATATTAAATTGTATTGCTTAATTTCTATGAATTTTGTTTGCAGTGCCAGGGGAACTTACGATTTCAAAACTAGAAGCCAACCACCTTACGCGGTCGGTGGATAAAAATATTCATGTTTACCACATTGTATATAATATCATGTGAAAATAAATCATTTCTGCTATCTATCCGCTGAAATATTTCCTTCGACTTACCGCAACCATATCTTCTATTGCCTGGGTTGACTTTGATCCTAGCATAACCATACCCATGGCAATGCCTGCTGCCTCGCCGGTAACAGCGTCGTCCTGATAAAGGTTAAACTTTAACTGTTCGTATACATCCTGCCTGTGCGAACCCATGGCCGCGAGACCTAGTCCTAAGCAGCCGCCGTGACGAACCATCTGTAAACAAAACAGAAAAAACATTAGGAATTGCTCGCTTGTACAGTGATTGTGTGGTAAAAGAAAAACTGTATACGTACTTCATTCTGTGCGTCCTTCAGCTGGCCCAGTAAATAATCTGTTATTGCAGCGCCGTGGTTCGCATGAATAAGTCCTAACGCGTATAAACCACCTCCTTCAGAATAACCCGCTCCTGCACTGGTGTCTCGTGGGAGATAAGATTGCATTAAAGCTAAAGCTTCTTGTTCATGACCCCTATGAATTACTCCTAAAGACGCTGTTGCTGTTAATTTGGCCCAATTCGTGGCCCGCGCCAACCATTCTAAGTTATCTCTGAAATACAAAACAGAGAAAAGTAAATAAAAGACAAATATACTTCTTAAGAATATTGCGTACGATAATAGATGCAATTAAACTAATTGAAAATAGTAATAAATATTTACCTTAAAAATTGATCGCTAGTAGTTCCAGAGTGCATGTACGCGTTCGCGATTACGGTGGCAGTGTGACAGATAGAAACACGTATAGTATCTTTAGTATTTTTCAATATTAACATATCGGTATGATTACTACGAATTAAAAATTGCAGGTGCAAATCGATTGAAATTTCTCCACCTAATATACTGGACAAAGCATCCACACGTTCTTGCTGTTCGCGTTCTTCGGCATTCTAAACAAACGAAACAAGAAACGAAAAGTTAATTAAACAAATTAATAGATACTATTACTTCCAAGTGAAATTTCTTAAACCTACCAAACTTTCAACGCTACGTTCAGATTTTTCCTCTGGAGCTGGTGTAGTACTGGTTTCGGTTTCCATTGCCGTAGATTCAGAACTGCTTTCGGTAGTTACTTTTGGAGCTGCTTTTACAATTGGTTTAACCATAAGAGCTCCTGGAATGGGAGCTGTTGCTCTGAGAGCTTGTAAGACACGACCAAGGAACTGTTGAGTTGCTGATTCATATAAATCAAATGCAATTTGATAGGCCATGAGAACACAATCTTGTGAACCTTTGCTCAATCTGTCTAGAAGTTCAGCAACAGCTAATGGATCATCAAGAAATATCAAACACTGACACATGTTGACATAATCTGGTGTTCCTAGGTTTCGATAAAGGCTCACTAGGCAACGAAGTACGGTATTACGAAAACCACGATTTTGAATAAGACTCATGACAACTTGAAATGCATAAGACAACATGCCATTAACATCATCCTGCAATAAAAATATTTATAAATATAAATGTAAAGTTCTGATGTTACTTATATTTTACAAATTAATGTCAGCTTACAGACTGCATAATTGCAGCTTCAAAAATGTCCATTCTTCTTGTTTCAAGAGCAAGACCTAGAGCTTGTCTATATTGATTATCATCTAAACACCGTTGAAACATTCTATTCACAATTCCTTTTAATCTTGGGTCAATTCCCGTACTACCACGTGGTAATTTTCCTTCAGCTTCCAACACACGTTGCTGAGTGTAATAATCAATACATTTGGCTAAAACAACATTGAAATAAAGATGAAATTAGATCCAGAAAAAATATTAAATATATTTATATTTATTAATCCTACAAAGTAGTGCTAATACCTATGGTAGTATCAACATATTCATTACGAGCATTGACATCAAAGAGCTCTCCAGCTCCAAGAGCATAAGTAAGAGAATCTTCAAAACTTCCTAAATGATAGTATACTTTACTAGCAACTAATGCAGCTAAATCATGTTGTGGGAATGATATATCTTCATGAAGAATTTCACTAAAACACGAGCAATACACTGTTAAAGTACAGAACTCACCTAACTGTAACAAAAAATAAATGACACTTATTTTACACACATTTTTTCTATGGCCTCAGAAATTTCAGGCCAAAATTCATCCACTATCATATCTAATTTTTTTAAATCAAACACCTTCAACTCTGGCATTGGCTCTTCAAGGAGGGAAATAATACCAGCTGAAAAAAACAAAAAAAACCTTATTAAATTAAACGAAGAGTTTCAATAATGTAAAATCATCTCGCAACACACGTGTGTTAAGAATAAATTCATATAAACAATTATATTTGGTATTTCGAATACAAAGTGAGAGGTTAGGATACACGGGATTTGCAAATCATTGCATGTCTACTGTTACGATTCGATGTGAAAATTTAGTAATAAATAAAGATAATAAAAAAAAAATAATACATTATTATATTCTAAATAAATAATATACCTGCTGACGTAATATTCATGTTGGTTTTTATACAATACAAATTTCTTTGATGACGAAGTCTCTAAAAGACGGTTTGATGGTAAGCCACCAACTCGCTAACTAAATTCAATTGAAATATGCTACACACTATTGTAAGGGCTGCCACACTGACGGTAGCTTGACGATAACTTTGACATTGTTATGTGGCTCATGTGGCGCCCTGCATTGCGAACTGAAGCGCGCCAAATTCAAATTGTGCAGCAACGTAGCCGAAGCAATGAACAAAAGAACTCGATAACATATGCATATAATAGACTGTAAAATTTCATCGATTACTATTTACAATTGTTTGTTTAGATAAATGTTTATCGTCGTCGCTACGCACAAAAACATTGCTGAGGTGTAAAGCACTCGCTTTAAAGGAAATATGTATTAATAAACAAATGCGTAGTACCGATAGTCAAACCGAATAAGTATGGTAAAAGTGCCCCTAAAGCAAATGAAACGTGTGATACGTCAATCGAAAGAGCTTCCTAGGAAAACCATTTCGACAAAGTTTTAGCCATTTATCCCTATTATTAGGGTATTCAGTTATCGGCTTAAACATCATTTTCATTTCATACTTGATTTCTTTTGTTCAAAAATTATGAAAAAAATCTGAGATATTATAGTCAGAGTGTTACATACCTGAGAATTTGTTCAGATGTTCTGAATGAAAAACCTATTTTTAAAAAATTAAATAACATTTCAAATGCCAATTTTTTATTGAAGTTATCAAATAATCAGATATGACAACATTTACATTTTTACAGTAGAAGCTGCCTGCTATGTTTATTAACTCATAATTTTTTCAGATTTTTCAGAATACTGCGTCATAGTTGAAAAAATTAAAGACCACTATTTTTTACCGTTCCGTACACGTAAGAGTGACATCTAGTGACAGCAAGAGGTGTTTATACCTTTCTTTACACTCCTTGACACCAGAGGTCACTCTCAGATTTTCTGAAATTTTTTATCCAAGAATTTTTTATCAGATAGAACAAAAGAAATCAAGTATGAAATGAAAATGTTGTTTAGGTCGATAACTACCCTAATAATAGGGGTACAGGGCTAAAACTTTGTCGAAATGGTTTTTCTGCGAAGCTCTTTCAATTGACGTATCACACGTTTCATTTAGTTTAGGGGCACTTTTATTATGCTTATTCTGCTAGTACCTTTATCTTCAAATAATCTTATATAGAATCTTTAATTTAACTGGAGATTATTATTTAAGAAACACATGTTAACATTGAATAATGAATATCTACAACGCATGAAGATTCATTCGCTTTCCCTCCTTCAGAGTCTAGACGTATTATTTTATAATAAAAGAAATAGTTAAACATTTCGTTCATCCTTATCCTTACCAAGTTATTTATTGTTCTGTAAAAGATTCAACGTTACACTTTCTCATTCATTAAATTTACTAAACCAGCAGGCGCAATTCCCTCAAATTCCCCAAGAATCTACGCAACAACATAAAACATGAAGCGCGTAATACAAATTTTCAGATTTTCTCGACATTTGTCAACATTACTATTTTCATAATTTGGGAAAAACTCACACGTCAATGGTAATATCGTTATCTATTACAGAACGTAAAAATGACAAATTTTTCATACTGTAAGTTTTTAAAGTTCAGTAGCGGTACTACTGCAATGTCAGTGGTGAAAACTTCATGATTTTCTGTCGGATTTTGACTTGCAATGCTAACCTTAAATATTTATAGTTGTGATCTTAAGTTATTGTACAAAGTGCAATTTATGTATTAGTAATATATTTTAAAATGACAGAGAAAGTGAAAACCATGAGTCACGTAAAACATATTCCAAAGGATGCCCAAGTAATAATGTCAATTATGAAAGATATGGGAATTACAGATTACGAGCCGAAAGTTATAAACCAGTTGCTTGAATTTACGTATCGTAAGTATTTTATGTTTACAATTTATTTAAAATTTTGTATAGGTATTACACTGTATAATTACATGTATATGACTTCTTCTTTCATAATTTTACAATGTGCGTAAAAAATAAATTCTAAAATGATCTACAGGTTATGTTACTTGCATATTAGATGATAGTAGAATTTATGCGAATCATGCAAAAAAGAAATTCATCGATTTGGATGATGTTAGATTAGCAGTTAAGATGCAATTAGAACGTACATTTACAAATCCACCACCAAGAGATGTATTACTAGATGTTGCTCGGACAAAAAACAATATTCCACTTCCATTTGTTAAACCAAGTAATGGTCTCAGGTTACCTCCTGATAGATATTGTTTAAATGCAACAAATTATAAACTAAAAAATGCAACAAAGAAAGTGGTTGGAAAACCATTGCATTCTTTAGTTGGAAATAATATTCAAGGTGGTCAATCTAAAATCAAAGTTGAAAGCAATAAAACTGGTCTTTCTATTGTCAAAAGACCGGGAACTCTTGCAACGGTTGCTAGAACTCAAACTATTTCAATGCCGAAGCCTGTCCTGAAATTTTCAACAGGTAAACGATACGTAAAACTGTAAAAATAAATTTCAAGCATTAATTCTATAATTGTGCATTATTCCATAGATCCCTTCCGTGTCCTACACTTCCAAACATCTATCCCTTCAACTCATATTTCATTAAGAACACAAATATGTAAGACACAAATTACTTAAGTGATAGTAATAAAATTTGTTGTTATGATTTTTATTGTTTTTTTTATGTTGATTATTTATATGTGTAGCCACAGCAGGAGCAGCTACAGTAAAGGCACAAGTAGCTAAGCCAAAAATACAAATTTCCTCAGGACAAGCAATGCCTCCTGTTAAAATGGAAGTAGAAGATTCTATGAAAAGAAAAAGAGAAGATGACGACTATGACGTACCATAATAATAAACAATAAATGCTAAATAAATTTTTATTTTATATTTTATGTTTTTATTGTACGAAACAGTATACGTACTGTCACAATGACTTCTTTGATTTATATCACACTACACACCCCATAATTTTAGTCCTATGTTTTCGAGATTAGAATTAAATCTTAAACGACACTGTATATTTTTTTACCAAAAAGAAGAAAAAAAAAAAATGTACAAAGTATAAATAATGAACTCTATAAGTTAACCACATCTATATTTGTATCTGCTTATTATATATCAGTACACTTTACACATACTGCCCTCTTGAAATATTTCTAAAACACAAGTTTTTATTATTCTTTCAACATTTCATCTAGGAATCTTTTAAACAAATCAGAATTTATTAAACTTCAATTTATTTACAGCAAAATTTCTTCAAATGCTATTTGAAGTTGCATAGGCACAGACACTTCATCAAATCTACACGAAGTCAAAGCTATCTTCTATTGAACTTCGTATTCCTCATCTTCGTCGCCTTGACCTTGTTCTGCGTCAGTTTCTTCCTCCGTGGTGTAGCCAGGAGTTGCTACAGGAACAGCTCCAGGTTCTTCAATGTCATCTCCTTCGTCTTCAGCATCATAGCCACGTATTTCCGGAGGTTCAATTTCATCCTCCTCTTCTTCTTCGTCTTCTTCCCTTAGTTCAGACTTCCTCTGCACTTCTTCTTCAGCTTCCTCTTCAGCTAATTCTTCTAGAGGTTCTTCCTCAGCTTCTTCAGCTTCTTCTTCTTCTTCTTCTTCTTCTCCTTCTTCGTGTGCTTCAAACGGTGGTGGTTCCTCAGGTTCGCTTTCTTCAGGTTTTTTCTTCTCTTCCACTTTCTTCACATCAGCTTCTCGAACACATTTCTTCCGATGCATTGGTAGAAAGAGCTTAAAATCTTCTGGTAGCTCATCTTCGGAATAAAGTCTGTTATAATTTATTATTGTTTTAATAATTAATTAATATTCAACATAAAAAACTAAATAAAGATAAATCGCGATAATGAAAACGATAAAAACACTAATTTTACTAATTTTCTAATCGTAATACTTTGGAAATGTTTTATTCTAACAAACTTAAAATTAATAAACTAAAGAATCGCAAAACTATATGTCATGGGTAAGTATTTAAATTAATTAATTGAAGTAATTCAAATTTCAGTATGGGTAAGTATTTTAGTATAACTAAATATTTCAATATTCTATATTCTTCAACATAGAAAACTGATTATATGCAATATAATTAATAACTATTATTTCACTCTCAGATTTCATTTAAAAAAAATTACTGCTCCACAATACTATTAGTTAGACATGATAAATTTCATTTAAAAAAATTGAATATCCTTAATATTACTAATCTCTTCAGAAACATGTTGAAAAATTGAAGATATATAAAAAAATATATAAAAATCGAAGATCTGAGAAAATTACTTATTTTTTAAGTCCAAGTAGATTAATTCAGATTAATAAATAAGTAGATTAACGTCAAGTTCTATTAACATTGCGAAAAGCAGATTAATTTCATACCTATCCGCAAAATAAATACGTCGAATCCTGCAATTTGCATGAATCTGTATGCGTGTAGTCTCGACATAATTCGTGCCGTACGCTCTACGCGTGAAATCCGCTAAATTAAATTGAATCTGATTCCAACCCCCAGATAAACCAATCGGCATCGACGTGCAAAAATGTCGAACTCGAGTGGTACTCTGAAAATTACTCATTCGGAACCTCCTGTGCATATCCTTGTCGTCGAGTATCTATTAGAACGAAAGCAACACCCGTTATTCCACTAAAAATTAATTAAGGGGGTTCACCGCCGAAAGAAAGGAAAACTTTTCGAAATTGTGACGTTCCAAGCTTGGTACGCCACCCTGAGGAGTCTAAAAATACGTAAAGTTTGGGAATTTTTTTCACGGGTAACCACTAAACGGAAAGCTTCAATTTTTTTAGAGGATATAAATGTAACTTTCAGCTTCTTTCTCGAATTTGAAAATAATAAAAGTATCACAAAATGGAGGGGTTGCTGTGACACCATTTCTACTGGAATATCGATCGCTGGCCGCCATTGCTGATAAGAATTGAAAGGCCTGAAGTAAAACATTCTTTCTGATTTATAGATAGAAATGTATTATCTACAATTCAGTTTACGATTTTTTCGATATGTCAATTAATCAATTTTTTAGGAATGTTTAAGTTTGATTATTTTTGGCAGAAAGTGGTTCTTCCTCTTCAAACTGCCACCATTTTTATAATAATTAGAATTTTTGAAAAATCCTACGCTATATTGCAGATAATACATTCTTATTTCTGATTCAGAATTTCTTACTTGACGCTTTCCAATCCATGCAAGCAATGGCGGCCGATAGTCGAGAAGAAGCTTCTCAATTAGCGAATAACTCTTCCATTTTGGAATATTTCTACTTTTCAAAAATCGGAGCTGGAAGTTACATTTACATCCCCCGAAAAAATTGAAACTTTTCATTTAGTAGTTCACTATGAAAAAAATTCCAACGTACCAACCTTGAAACGTCACAATTTCGAAAATATTCTTCTTGTATTGAAAACAAGATAATTGAGAAAATTGCGAAATCATTTCCATAAGAAATTTACTGTTATCTCGAACGTGAAGTACTTCTTCATATTCTTGATGGTCATAATTAAAAAGGGAAGCTTAATGCCGAGGGTTTTTTGGGGACCACGCGGGCAGAAGATATAAGTTGTCGTAACATTGGTTCCAGATATCTCCAGAGCCAGAGACTTCACCTCTTCGTCCGTGACTCGTCGAATGTAACCATTCTTCACCTGCGCAATTTTGTCAGTCACTTAAATTCTACTTGCTACATTTTTCTCTTCATCTTCATCTTATTAACCCTTTGACTGCGGCGCACTCTCTTACCAAATTGAGAAAACTCCAATTGACCAAAATAAAGAAATAAAATAAGATGCTACCGTAAGAAAAATGTAAAGGACGTGTTGGGCCAACAGATTGCCCTAAGCTTACGATACGGTCGACTAATTTACCATTTTTGAGGATTCGAACGTTCTATTTTCCCAGCATGTATTTAACTTTATAAGGAGAATTTTCAGCGTTTTGGCCTCTTCTGCTCAATAGTAATTCACGTATCGCAAGCTTATTCTTCCGACAAAGGACGTGAACGCCAGAACTCAGATTTTCCCATCCTTCCCATCGGACAGGACGAATTTCCGACCTTCTTCCCACATTCCCCAAGACACTCCTCTCGAAGGACGAACGCAATTCACGTATCGCAAGCTTATTCTTCCGACAAAGGACGTGAACGCCAGAACTCAGGACAGGACGAATTTCCGACCTTCTTCCCACATTCCCCAAGACACTCCTCTCGAAGGACGAACGTGGATGAAAGAACCGGGACAAGTGAGACAAGGCAGTGCAAGTACTACTCATGCAGGCATCTGCCCTTCCAACTTCATCGACGGTAACACCATAAAGGCAACCGATAAAGAGGCCATAGCATCTAGGCGCGGATGTAAAGGAATCACCCCACAAAAAGAAAAGAAAAAAAGACAAGACAGTGCAAGTAACAGTATTCAAGCAACAAGACACGCGGAACGAACGCAGTCACCCTGTATACGAGGGCGTCACGTCCGGACCAGTAGACAGAGAGCACAGCAGAGGGTAAAGCGGAGAAAAGATGGTTCAGTGGGGGCTGGGACGTTCTAGAACAGCCTCCAGTCCGTCCCATGCGCTAATATTGCACGCAGTAGCTTTTTCGTGTATAACTATCTTAACACTAACGTTTAACTCTAATGGATAATGTGTTACGATTGCTGAGAAAAGTGCAGCGATGGACAGAGCACGTCTAGAGGCTGCTTCTGCGACTTTTGTAAAAAATAAGCAGCGTTCGTGATTACCCCAAGACGGGTTAGGAAATCACGAACAGCGACGGTTTAGTTTTTCTATTGAAAATTCGTTTTGTTTTTAAATTTTGTTAATGTTAATTGTAAAAATATATAAACAGATAATATGCGTTAGGTGATCGTAATTCCTCTATTCTACCCTACTGATAAATCTGTGAGAGAGTATTTATACGTCTTTCGTAGTCAAAGGGTTAATTAATGTCTCTAATGCGACATTTTCTCTCGTGTTTGCAATACGTTAAAGGAAACTTACGTGCATATCCCACAATTCTAGCGGAGACGAGCCGCAGCTGTACAAAATGGAGAGGAATCCGTGCTGATACTTATTACGAAACATCGTGAGTTTTTGCTCGCGCTGAAATAACGAAACATTAGAATATTTTCATCGTGTCGATATCTTGGAAAATGTCATAATTAACCACTTAACTCGTACAAATAGAATCTCTTCGTTTCGCCTATCGAGGCGAATTTGGTCTCCTCCGTATTGGTCTTGTGCAAAGGTTTTGCAAGGCTGGAGAGAGTTATGCTTTTTTTACAGAAAGAAAATAACTTTGGCCATTTTATTCAGCACCTTTATTCGATCGTACAGACGTCGATACAATCGAGTGGAGTGAAATTTGCAAGCACCGTCACATGTTTTTCGTTAAACGTGACAAAGAATGTCGTTGATGCGACGTCTTTCGTTCACAGTTAGGAAATCCGGGACAATCAATGTCTTCGGCGGCATCCCAAGGCTGAAAACACGGTCGATCCTGACGCTATCGATGGCGAACATTTGCATATTCGCGAAATGAAAAAAAAAGCTGACGTTTGATTTGCTTCTTGGTCCGTTGTATACGTCGCCGACAGACCACGTAACTTAACAGATCCAAAGTGAAGTAATCTTCAATATATAAATATTAAATTTAAGTTTCCCCAATAAGAATACGAAGCCGCCACATTTTTTTCACTTCTACGATTTCCATTCACTTATTAATTGTAATTACTTAATTTTAACCCTTTGCACTCCTCGAAATTTTTAACATGACCTACCAGAAACTCTGAATCGTTTTTACTATGGGCTACCTGCTACTCCGAGGCTATTTACAATGGTGCGAGTGCGCCTCTGTGGAAGATTCAAAATCTAGCTTTGCCATTAGGAAAAACATGGCACATCTTACAATGTCCCCGCAGCAACGACAATGGAGCTGTTAGTTCCACTTACAATGCCGCCACAGCGGCGACGACGGAGTGCAAAGGGTTAATAAACAGAAAATTGGACAATATCTAATCCTAGATTCCAGTAAAAGTTACAAATGTTAGGTGTACAAATGAACAATCCAAATTTTTCCGTGAAACTGAAAGTTCATTTAAAAAGAATCTCAGCAAGTTGCTCGATCAACCCGCCATTGGTTTGTATAAATTTAAGACGTCTATCAGGCAACTAACAAATTCCATTACGGAAAAATGCAACGATTCTAGATCCGATCATCGAGCCATTTTTGAATCTCATCCACTAATTGGAAGTGCGTACCGGATAAGGGACGTTGCATCGTTCAGAAGAGGTGGAAATCTGAAGGAGCAATGTCTGCTGTCCCAAGCAATATTCATTACGACGTCTTTTGTCGCAGAAGCAATACGCGGCTTAAATAGCGTTGTTATGCAGCAATTTCACAGGACGTTCGCCTCTGCTGGTGTACGGACGTTTT